TTGATGAGTTCTTGGACAATTTGGAAAGCTTGGAATGTGTACTACAATCCATCTTTGTAATGCAATGGACTACAACTTTGTGAGGAAACTTTGTGAATCAAAGTTGTAGATTTTGCAATGGACTACAACTTTCATGTTTTGAGTTTTGTTTGAATCCAAATGTATCTTGATGAAAAAATGGGACAAAGTTAGGAAAAAATAAGGAAGTTTCATAACTTAGAAAAATTCTAAGTTATGAAATTTTCTCATTTTAAACCCTAATTTGCAAATTTGGATTTATTGATGAACAAGTTTCATAATTTGACATGTCTTGATGAAAAATGAATCTTGACACTTGATTTTGACCAAAAAGTCAAAGTTTGACTTTTCAGTATACAGTCAAATTTTGATCAATTGACTGGAAAATTCATCTGTCAATCCTGTGCATTTGGAACTTCTTGAACTTGTTGAATGTGTCAAGACCATGCCATTGAGTCCTTGAGTCCATGTGTGAGCTTGATTTGCCATTGGTTAGGTCAAACAGTCAAAAAATTGCCTTTGTGCAGTCAAAACCTTAAAAATGACCATTTTTCCCTTTTGGTGATCTGATCAAATTTCTTGTGGAATTGTGACCAAATGGTCCATATGAGTTCATAATGTTGATGTGGGTCAAAAATCACGAGGTTTGACTGTCAATTGGCCATAGTTGACTTTTCCCCAATACAGTTGATTTCTAGGTCAACTGTCCAATTGACTGGGCAAAGATTGGAATCAAGGCTTGAAACTTGGTATGGACAAACTTGTGAGTCCAACATGAAGCATGAAAGTCACTTTGGGCATTTTAGGTCAAAACATCTTTGTGCAAACTCAAACCCTAATTTGGGTCAACAGTGCAAGAAGGAGTCTTGAGCAGAGCAAACCCTAACTTGATCTTGAGCTCCAAGAGTCTTGTAGTGAGAAAAGGTTGATGAAATGAGTGGGAAAATTTTGGGGTACAATAGTGAGTGTTTGGGATTCTGGGTTTTTTTGATTTCTCAAGTGTTGATGAACTTGAGAGTTTTGTTGTGTTTGAGAAAATTTGGGGGATTCGTTCCTCTGGTCCAAAGATCCTCCCTTAAACATGTGTTGCAGCCTCTTATTTATAGACAAAGTTGGCTGAAGCTTTTGGAGGGAAAACAAAATAATTTGAACAATTTGAGTAAACTTCTCTTTGTAGCCTTCGAGGGACAGTGCTTGTATGCTATTTCGGTGCAAGAATGGGGCAGTGTTTCAAGACTGCTGTGCAGCAGTTTTGGCCAGTGTACCATGCCTGAACTTGGCAGCAAGCATCTTTGAATATTTCATCCTTTCATTTTGACCCTCCTTCGACCAGATTCTTCTTCCAAACATATTGTTTGACTTTCCTCTAACAAGTGTCCTTCGAACAAATCACCTTTGCGCATCATTTGAAGGGGCCATCAATCATGTGCTGAAGTTTGTCAAGGATGGAAATGCAGCACACTAAAACTTCCTATACTCAATGACCACGTTCGAGGAAACCAAGTGAGGCTTACCCTAAGAGTGGCATGTGCGAGTGTGTTAATTTTCAATTTATATTATCTTTGTACATGTTATGGTGAGCTACGGTTGATTTTGAATTAAAGGTTAATCTTGTCATGCATAGCCTATTATTCAAACATCTAGCAGTTAATGGTTGCGGAAAATAAATTGCGGAAAATAAAACTAAGCTATTACAAGGCGTCGGGTATTTACATCGCCAAAAACAAACCCTTAAAATTAAATGCAAAAAGTAAATAAAAGAGGTAAATAAAATCCTAAGTTAAAGCTATTACATCCTCGGAGCAATTACAATTATATGGATCAAAAATAATATGCGCGCGAGAAAATTGAATCAGAACGTCCTAGGGTTTTGACCCTTTTTTAAAATAAAACATATTTTTTTCTATTTTTTGAATTAGAAATTAAGTCTAAATTAGTAATGGAATTAATTAATAGAAAAAAGAAAATATTTTTGAGTTTTATTTTAATTAAGGAAATAAAATAAGAATGGAAAAAACATAAAAAAAAAAAATTCTAAATCAATTTTAATTTATTGCAAAATATATTATCATTAAACCTATTTCAACTAAATAAATTAATTAATGGTTTATTTACAAAAATAAAATAGTGAAATTAATAAATATTATTTTTTGTGTTTTCTGATTTTTTATGAGAAAAAAAATTATTGGTTGGTTAATTAACAAAAATAATAAAACAAACTAAATAAAAGGAAAATGGAAAAGAATAAACCAAAGGGGGGGGGGGTGTTGGGCTTAAACTTGGTGTTTGAATGGTAATTCCCAGGCTCAAACGTACTCCAGTCTGTGTTGACTTTCAGATTGCCTGGCCGTTTGTTGACCAAGGTTCATGGTGAACCTCATCCTGGACCACTGGATCTGGATCTGGAACCACCTGGCGCATGGGTACCTGAGGCATATGGTGGACCACGTTCTTGCACGCTGCGTGGGATTACCTGAAAACAAAATATATTAAAGTTTTGGGGGACCTGGGATTCGAACCCAGGTCCCAAGTCCCTCCAACATGATAAAAATCGGAAGCTGACCTACCCCTGCAGGTCCACTTCCCTTCGAATTTGCTTTCTTCGATAGCTCTAAGCTCCACTTCGAATTAATCCAGCTTCGATGTCACAGCCCCTTCGATTGAGACTCCTTCTGCTTCGACTGCATGTTTGCAAGGACAACATGCCATTTTGAACTTGGGGTGGACCTGGAAAGGTTAGGATATGTTTTTTTGCTTAGTCATGCCAGCCTACTTCATTTCTTCGAAGTCGAATTTGAGCCAATCAAGACTTTCCTTAGTAGAACCTTGTCCTACTTATTGGTTCTGAGTCGAATTGTGCCAGCTTCAATACTAGGGCTCCTTCGATTGAACCACCCTTTGCTTCGATCTCCTGTCCTTTTGAAGAAAATTCCCTATTAGGCAACTTCGACCAGCTCTTGGCCTTGTGATGAGTCTAAGTTCTGATTCGAAGTATTCAAAATTTCCTTCATCAGAGCATCTTAGATTAAGACCAACTCTGTAATGAAATGCCATTCGAAGGTCATTTCATTATGATGTTCTGATTAAGGTAAAGTATGAAGTTCCAGTCGAAGTACCCTCTAAAGTACTAGTCGAAGCATTATGAAATTGACTTGATCGAAGGGGTCCAGCGCTCAATCGAAGACTTGCACACCAAAGCTTGATCGAAGGGTTCCAAACACCTAATCGAAGCTTACTAATCAAAGCCTGATCGAAGAGTGCCAAATGCCCAATCGAAGACTGGTGAGTCAAGCCTGTATCGAAGTATTTTGGATACCCAATCGAAGACTTTTCCCAGATGCCAATCGAAAGACACTTTGTTCATCTTCAAAAAACTTTATTTTCGTTAGGCAAATGTTTGTGACCAACCATTTAAGGGAAGACTTTTGAAAACATGAGAGGGCAAATTTTGGGGTACATTAATATGCTTTTGCATTCATCCCGCTTAGAGGGAATTAGTCGACCGATCTCTTCAGTGTATCTTAACCATACAACAACAAATTATATACACTTTCAATCGTACGACAATCATCGTCAAACACATCCATTAGATAACATAGTCTTCTACTCTTGATGGTTGACTTATGGGTCACGTCTGATGTATCCACATCTGCTGAGCGAGTCGTGTGTCAATTCGAGTATACGTAGGTTGTTCTAAGAGACCCCTTTGTGTGTGCTCCTTCCACTATACCCCCGTATATATGTAGATGCCATATATGATAATTTACATAATCATTTGGCACTGAGTGAAGCACAAGGTATCTAGATCCTAACAAATGGAATTATACATTCAGCTACTCTATTGGTATTTCAGAGTTTCACATCCTTATATGACACTGGATGTTGAATTAGAGACATGTAGACCTACTCATTAAGAGATATCAGAGAAGGAGTAAGCTTGGACATATCATGTCGTTGATGTGTTACATGCATGTTGTCATATTATGGATCTTGAGCGAGCATATATAAAGAGATGAGACTTTTTGAAAGACACTTCTAGGAGGGCCATTATAAATTCCATTCTAATTGAGGCACTTACGGCATTGTAGTACAGGAGATTGCAAAGGAACAACGGGGTCCGACATATTTGTATTAAGGATTATGAATAATATTATCGTTTGTTAATTTGTTATTTTGACTATATTTTAACTGATATTTTGATTTTCATCTTATTAGATCAGCGTATGGTTTAATTGATAAAAAAATAATTATAATAGTCTAATTATAGTACATGGTCTATCACATCAGTGTATTTTTAAAAGTGTAAAAATTTAATACCTAAAGGGTGATTATGCAAGCGCATACTCATATTTTGTCACCTACATATATCTTTGAACTAAATTATAGCAAAATAAGGGTGTAATTCAATCACGAATAAATATGCATAAGATTATTTCGGGGATATATATCTAAACTAAATTAAGACAAAAATGAGAGTGTTATTCAATTACACATTGATTTGGTGTAAATGAATGTATCAGAAGATGTACTTCCGAATTTAAAAGGAAATTTTCAAATTTGCTTAAGATATTTCTCTTCCACTAAAGGTGAAAGAAGTGATGCCCTTATAAAATTTGACCATAACCCATGCTTAGGTTGTTTACAATTGAAGAATAAATGATTTACAAATAAGATTTTCTAGACTAAAGGCGCCCAATTTAAAGTTAGGCACCAATTTTTCATTCAATTCTTTTATTTCATTTTTATTAGACTAAAGACACCTAAATTTAAAGTCAGGTGTGAAACATGCATCAAGCCCATAATAACATAGAATGATGAAGACATCGTGAACAATTTAAGAATCTATAAAATCCCATTATCATAATGATTTACTTAAAGATTTTCTATGGTATTTAAGTTTGTCAAAATGCACACAAGGCAGAAAGATAATAATATAATACTTGGGATGATGAAGTACAACATTACAAGAAAACAGAACATCACTACTCATCATCCTTATATGGATACTCTTCTGGAACTTGCTTGAGAAGTTTTACTTGCAACTCAAACACATCATCACCTCTAAGCGCATCACGTAGCCAAGTGACCTCAGCCCTCATTGATACCTGAGAACAAATGTAGAAGAATCAGGACGAAATCATGAGTAATCTATTTCATATTTGAGAAAAATACTCAAGTTTCAGAAGACTGACATCAAAACTATTTTTGTTTCCTAAGTGTTGAAAGCATGAAGTACAATATGTCAAATTAGAAAAGAAATAGAAACTCACCATATCCAAAGCTCCTCTAATAACTCCGATTAATATGTTGCAGTAGTACAGACCTTGGTAGTTGTCAGGAAGCTCAACAAAGTCCACCAAAGGATTATCTTCCAAAACAATACTACAACAAGTCCCTTCAGCATCCCAATTGGTCACGGATGCAGTAACACCAAGGAACATTTTAAAACCAACATGTATAAAAGAATTATTAAGGTTGATAAAAATAAAGTCATCTTCTGCTTTAAATATGCTTTACTAATAACATAATAAAATTCGGAAATAAACCAAAAAATGCTGATCACACAACCAAGTACCAGCACATAGCCCACTCTCGACAGTCACCCAACTGTTAGATACTGAAATTAAAGAAAAGTAGCAGAAACCAACTACAACATGAAACAAAAGCTAAGCAAATGTAATTAAATAGGTTGTAAAAAAAATCTATATATGAACTTAGGGTCATCCAACAACAATGGGCCAAGAAGATATAATATTAAAAAAAATAGTTGATGAAGATAAACTCTGGAATTAGCATGATTAGAAAGAGAAAATAAAGTTAAACGGCAATGCTTATTGAAAGCAATGTCATTATATCTAGGTCACATTTCTTTGAACGACATAACTTATAATGAACATGCAATGCTCCATTTTTTATGTTTACTGATCATTATATTGGGCTCAAACCTGAATAATTTTGTTTCGCCAATTCTATCTTCATATGCAAATAATAACACTTGAAACCATACTGCATTTCATTCGTGTTCTAAAACCAGTTGACTGCCCCCTCAAATCTAATACATTTTTCCGATTTGAATGCAAAGCAGCTACAAACGCATAATAGTAAAATAATGATAAGTTATGCAAAAGGTGTCCCCTCTATTGCATCTAGTCTAATGTTTTTGAATCATATGCATCTACAACATCCATTTCAGTACTAAATAATAAACCTATAAACATACTTGTTCATATGAATTTGGCTTATGCAGAACGGTGAGGGTCTAAATCTCCCCATGCCTAAAGGCCCTTACTCTCTCAATAGCCAAGAAACTTCTAATCCCTCCCTCTTATTTATACACGTTACTGCCTAACCTAACAAACTAACATGGTACATTGAACATTCATCTTGTTCTGAAGGTGAATAGCAAAGATAAGTTGTAAACAAACTGATCAGGATCCAATGATTCCAATTGTCTGAAGTCCTTCTTCACCTGCTCTAGCAGTGTCTATAACAGAACATTTCATACCCTTCTGCTGCAAAATTCTGCAGATGCTTATCTCATGTATTGAGTCGAGCCTCATGTCTTTCTTGTCTTGATTTCAAGACACTATAGTTCTCACCATCATGTCCTTCCCTTTTCTAAGATTTCATTAGAAAATTCAAGGAATAACTTCCCATATTGCAGTACAGATTGTAGAACTTTGACAGTTATCTCCTTCAATTCCCAAAGACCTTTAATCTCTCAACTGACAAGATGCTTCTCTCTTAACCCCTTTCTTTTATTTATATATACATCAGTCTAACCCGCCTAACTAAGAGGGTAACCTATTAATCATTTTGATAAGATGTGATATCTTTATTAGAAGACTTAATGAAGAATTTCCTTAGTACGAGATGTATCCCTTTAAGCCCTTCCTCTTATTTATAGTTATACACATCATAGCCAAAGATAACCAACAAACTAACTAGGCTTTTGTACACATGAACACATGAACACAAGTTACATGAATACATACACTTTTTAAAAACTTAATACAACTAAAAAGCTTGTACAATCAGACAAGTTTATTACTCCCCCTATCATACACAATCAGTCCTCCCCCTCAATGGAAAGCCCCCAAATTAGAGAACATGCAGCAGAAGCATGAGCTTCAGTACATGACAAACTATCATGCTCCCCCTTAATAGTTGCATACAACAAGAAACCACAAACATCTACTCTCCCAAAAGTAGTAGCATACAGTCTTATCACAAGACTAAATCAACATGTCAAGACATGTGATGTAACATTGGGACACATAAAACACTAACACTTTACTCCCCATTTTTAGCCAAAATATTGATAAAAAATAGAGTAAATGTACACATGTGGAAACATAGAAAGTCTCGGAACCAAATATATTGCACACAAGCAATACCTCAAATGGAAGCACACAATTCAAATAGAAATACGCATATTGCACACCACTAATACCATAGAAAGGAGCACAAAATCTGATGGAACCAAACTTCACCAAATTTCAGGTGGTCTTCCACCTCTTACCCCTGTCAAAGATTCTCCTGCACTCCTTGGTGTTGTAGTCAGCCCCGTATGTCTTGCAGAACACCTTCCTTCCATCCCTTTTGAGTAGCAATTTGTCCATACATGTCACACCTCAGAGTATAGAGGAAAGATGCACTATTAGTTGCATTCCTCCATATCTAATTGAAATAATTATTCAATAGTACAAGTTCCAATGCTACTGCGTACAATAGTAAGTTGTTCCTTATTGTCTATATGCTCTAGAGTAATAACCTTTCCTTCAATAAGATTTTTGATCAGTTGATTAAAACTACCAAGGTCCTTGTTCCAGCCATGTTGAATGAGATATCTGAAAGAACTCAAATCTTCACTATGAAATGTCATGACATCCTTCTTAAAATCGTGTCTCTTCAATACCAGTTCAAATAAACTTTCTCTTGTTTCCCTACCTTCAGCTTCAATAGTATACCAAGAAGCACATTCTTGCTTCGTACTAATCCAGAAAAACAAACTATTCCTCAACATAAAACATCCATCAGTATTTGATATATTCATAACTAATTTAGTGATGTTTCCTTTATCAGAATGATTTATAGTCATTTCCTTGAATTGTTCTATCTGTCCTTCAGTAAATAGACCTTTGCTGGATTGAGAATTCACTAATTCGGTGTTTGTGAATTCACAAATTTCTTCCCTTAGTGCTCCATCAGTTTGCACACAGGATGTTCCAACATCGTCTCTAACATCCACCATTTCTTCAGCAATTGAATCATCAATTATCAAATTGATAGATTACATTTCATTCCAATTTTGGAGTTAAAAACTCTATAATCTCTTCTTCTTGAAGAGTAGCCCATAAATATTCTTCCATCCCCTATGGAGTCCTTCTTGTCCACTTGATCTTTATAAGTAAAGATCTGGCATTTACTTCCAAATATATGAAAGTATTTAACTTTAGGTTTCCTTCCTTTTTGTACCTCATAGAGAGTAGTAGTAGTACCTCCTCTCAATGTGACCATATTATGAATATAGTTGTAGCGGTATAAATATTAAGACTAAGCCATTGGATTGACTTAACTCGCAAAAACCAATGAAGTCGCCACCACACTTTTATAGTATCCAAAGGACTAGGAAAAGAGCGAATAAAACCTAAAGTAAAATAGAGATCAAGGTATGAGAGTTGGTTATGAAAAGGGAAGATATTAGCACCCTAAATATTTACGGTACTCCGCAAGAACATCTTTGAAAATCTGTGTGTTTTGGATATAAAAGGTATATACAAAAATAAGATTGGGGAGATGAGAAAAGAAGTATTTTTTGACAATTTTGGATTTAATAAAGCTTCCAATGAGCTCTAGGCCTACATACCAATAATGTGCAATGTTGAAATCAAAACTCATGTAGTTCAGGTAAAAAAGACCAAAATTGGTTTGTTATGATTAGTTTTGATGTAAAAGACATTTTGTCTTATTTGAGTGAAAAACCAATAAACTATGACAATTATGGTAAAAAGAGAACCTGCTTCATCTTAAATATGGAGAACTTGCAGCCTGGATCAAATCAACAGTGTCAATATCAACATATAAGTGAAAAGTTACTTCAATATTACCATGTTTGTTAAAGTGATGAGGTTTGCAAACACTCAAAGAAAAGACTCGTGTCTTACACTTTCTGAAAATGTTAAAGGAAAAAATTCCCTGAGGCAGAAAAAGTTTGAGTGAGGTTAATGACTTTTAGTCATTCAAAAGATGTCAAAGTATGATTAAATTGATTAAGGTTTAATTAAGAAATTTTTATTTTGAAAATGCATGGACCCAAGTCCAAGTTTATTATGAAAGTGGTTCAAGTTTGAAAACAAGAAGAGTTTTTAAAAAAGAGGGAGAAGATTTTGAAATTAAAGAAGATAGGAGGAGATGAAGGGACTATCCTGTGTACACAAAGTAAAAGCTAAGGTAAGGAAATGTCTAACCAACAAGAAGCCAACACTTGACATAAAGAAGTAAATATAGAATTTTCATCCTTTGGATTAAAGCCACAAGCATCGAATAGACCAAAATCATACCAATCTTCCATCTGAAAATAAATCACAAGCCAAGAGTATCAAAGAAACCCAAGGTATTAAACTCGAAGCAAGGTCTTCAATACTGAACCATGTGTCATATAAATCACTTAAGGCCAACATAACAACACATGCACACAGAAGATTTCCCAATACATAAGCAATATAACAATAAAGCAACACAAGGTCCAAAGGTCTCAAGGTCTCAAAGTATCAAGGCTTCTAATCCTAAGTCCAAGAGATCCACAACTCCAATATTCTAAGGATAGTAACCAATAATCCAAAGAGTCCTAATTCTTTTTATGTTCAAGTTGGTTATTAAGTGTATTCAAAAGAAAAAGGAAGCTCAAGTGAGCAAAGATAAAATGAAATAAAATAAATGCTCAAGTGAGCAAAAATAAAATGACATAAAGATAAATGGTCAAGTGAGAAAAAGGCAAATAAAATGAAATGTAAATGCTAAAGGTAAAAGTACATAAAAGTAAATGCGTAAAATAAAAAGCATAAAGCAAAGTTAATTATTAGTGAGTTAGAAGTTATAAGTTAGAAGTTAATGGTCACAAATATGATCAAAGATGATTCAATGATGATCTTGGACCAAAGAATAATGAAAACTCATTATAGGATTGATAGAATCAAAACCTTCTAACAACAAGTTTCATAGGTATGGCTCCAAAATACACCATCAACCATACTTAGACATACAAACATAAAGTTTGGGCCATAAATGAACATTTTCCGTATCAGGACAAATTTAGCGCCATGTTAAGTATTCTTAAGTGCGTATTCCATGAACTCTCTAGGTATTCAGAAACTTGACTTTGTCTTCAGAGATATGAGCAACAACCCTTCTGATGAACAAATCTTGACTTCTGAACTTT